AGTCTTTTAAAAGCTGAATTTAATTAACAATTTGGTAAGTCGTATTAAATATTTGAAATAATTTGATCAACACCAACAATCGTGTTATCCAATAAATAAGAATGTACATGCAGTCAATATCGCTACAGGGTAAACACATGATTCTTGATTTGACTGGAAATGTCAAATACAAATACAAATATTTTTTCTGTATAATAATGAACAAGAGGTGTAACAAAAAAGAGATTTTTTATAGAGAAATTTGTAATTTGCAATAAAATACCATTAATTTAGGAGTTACCTAAGGAAGGATGCTAAGACCTCTTCAACAAATAAGAAATCGATGCTTACAAAAAGCTGTATTCGTCAACTAATAATTTGGTAACAAAAATTTAATATACATATAAGAATTCTGAATTCCACACAAAATCAGTTCATAGTGTTAGGAATATTATTATGGAATAGTAATAATATAAATTACTTTCAATGTCTTTGATACATACGAGAAGTACAAACTTTTATCTTTTATATATATTTAAAACAAGTATAAAATGCACTTTTATAAATTTAAAAAAGAACTGAATCAACATGTTTTCCCCATAACAAATTAAATATGAACATAGTATTTTATACATATGTCTGCCAAATTAATTTAAAATCTTTTATTAGCATAATAGTTGTTGATGAATAAACAAAAGATAAATTGTATTTTATACATTAGAAATTAATAAAGTATATCTCATTAAAGAAAATTATATTAACTCAAATATTATAGAATAAACAATATTTCCAGCAGATATATGTATACAACTATATTAATAATGCACGAGCCAGAATATATTTTACTAAAATATATACAGACTGCTTTATAAATGATATCGGATAAGAAAGGGACAAGTTCTTAAAGCATCTTTCAATTAATTTCATTTAATATAAAAAACAAGCATTAAATACATAACTATATAAGAAATATTATTATTAAAAACTCGGTCATTAATTGTAAACCTCTTTCAGAAAATAAATTATGAGTAATATCTTTTCATTTATTTCTATTCAAATTATAGTTTCACTAAAGATTACAAAAAATATTGTGATGAAGTGAACATTTTCAAAAATATTTGACTGCTTTAAATTCAAAAATAAAAAAAAACTTAATGCATATATAATGCATATGTAGTACCTTATTTTAAATATTCAATATTTAATTCTTATGTGATAAAATTGTTCTTGGGTATCCATCCAGTAATTAAAAACAGTTTTATTGAAAGAAAATGTTTTTATTATGAAAACATATGTTTCGGGTCTTGATTTGACCCATCTTCAGCGCCGCAATTAAATATTTCAGAATTTAAAACAATATAAAAAATACATAATTACAGGAAAATATAAATAAAAATATGTAAAAAAGCATAAATCTAACCAATTTAATAAATTAAATAAATAAAAACATTTTCTTTCAATAAAACTGTTATTAATTACTGGATGGATGCTCAAGAACAATTTTATCATAGTATTTCACCATCCGAAGAAAAACCTCTCGCTTTATATACGTGTATATATATATATATATATATATATATATATATATGTACATACACACATAAAAATTAAATATTGAATATTTAAAATAAAGCATATCAGATGGAGTATGATAAATGCCTGTATATATCAGAAATATATTCTTTGACTGTTTTTGTATAAAACATGCTTTGCACTTACATTGTTCGATATCCTCTACGACAGCTCCCAGAACAAAAATCCAATACACGAACCACCTCTAAAGCATCTGCCAGAAATCTCAAGTACTCGACACAAAATCACTACTTTAGAACCACTACATAACTTTGTTCGTTACATGTCTATTCGACCTGTTGCAATTGTCCGAGTAAAGTCTTTACATAATACACGACACACGACTTACATTAGAGACTTTCGTGAATTTAGAATTCGATAATAAAGAGATATGTGTTGGAAGTACTCAAATATAAATTATACATTTTACAATTGCATATATATAAATAAAGGATACATTGGCGCTGTAAATGAATTAATAACCTACAAAAGCACATAAATAAATTATACAAATTCACAATTGCACGTATATAATTAAAGGATACATTGACGCTGTAAATAAATTCTTTACTTATAAAATTGATACAAAATGGAGGCCCTGAAAGAGATACTTATAAAACTATTCAAGGTACTTCCGCACACATACATTTTTTGGATTTTAATTAACGTTTCACGACAAATTAATTATATCAAAATGATCCACTAAATTAATTACACGTTTTGATGCATAAATTAATTAAAACTAATCAAGGATTTAATTAAAAATCATAATTAACGCGACGGCGTGTTAATTCACGGAAATTTCTTTGACAATTGAAGTTGTCAACATGTGTCAGAATGACTGTCACCTCTTGTACAATATAAAGCGCGAAATTCAACTACTGCGTTGATTCAGACTGAAATCTAATTTATTCATTGATTAAAAAAAATATTTCACTATTTGACATAAATAAAATTAAAATAAACAAAAAACTATGATGCGATGGAATTAATTATCGAAATGTAAAGAAATTTGTGTAATAAAAAAATAACATTATTATTAATATGTCATATATATTATAAGAACTTCTGCAAAGCGGCAAAATATTTTTGATGGCAAAACGTTTGCCGGGCCAGCTAGTATATATATTTATATATATGCTAGCTGACCCGGCAAACGTTGTTTTGCTAAATAAGGTATATTCTAAACCATTTCTAGAGAATCAAAAATATTAATACTTTAAGTGCATAAGGATGTGTTGTTTGAATGCTATATACAATGGAGTATCATAAAAACATGAAACCCCATTAGTTTGTCTATATTTTGTCAATACAATCAAACTGCAAGTTTAATTCACTTCCTATAGAAAACATCGTATAATTCAATCCGAGTCTTTTTTGGTCTTTCGGCTTATTAATTACGTTTCAAGTTTTTCATATTCTTTTTGGATTCTGGATTTTGTGTATAATTGTAAATAATACTACTGAGCTTATACAAAATTTTCAAATTTTTGCGAGAAGAGATAGAAAATAAATATTTAAAAATCAAAAAAGTATTTCTTTTTTTACCTGCTTTTTGAAAAGTTTCAAGTAACATTCGGTGAAAAAAAGTAAATTTAATATAAAGTATATATGTAGAGCAGGGCGAGGCACAAAGGTCCAATTTGACTTTGAGCAAATGTAAACTATATTGTGAAAACCATAACAATTATATCACAGCAAATAACACATATCAAACGAACAATTATCTGAGTTCAGTAAACTGTCTTCTACTTCATCATTGTAGAAATGTGCCTTTTTGATGTCTTTCAAAAATTTGGTATCTAGACCTTTTTACCCTGTAGGCGGGGTAACTTGAAATATTTTACAAAATAATTACATTTTTAACTAATGCTTAAAAACTACCAACGGAAGAAAATACTTTTATTATGGATTCTCAAAGATTACCGTTTATCTCCCCCATTTCAAAGATTACCGTTTTCAAATCAAGCTTGTAGCTGGCTATAAATCTTTTTTCCTCTACTTTCAAATATTGTTGTTGAACAATGCTTAACTTTACTGATTTTTGACAAACCGGTGGTTGGCCTTTTTAACCCCGGACCTTCATATATTACTATCTATTCTGCGATAAATTCTGGGAAATTATAACTGGAAAAATGTTATTCGACAAAAGGTCCATTTGATCGATACCAAATTCAGGTTCTGAATTTAAATAACATAAATAAAAAATAATATAACCTAGAGAATGTTTTATAAATACCAATGAGCATATAATTATACAAATAAGATCTTTCAGAGCACCGTGTTTGAGAAAAATATGCCAAAAATGCATTTTCATATTAACATATCAAAAAAGTTTATATTTTGAGTCTCTAGTAACACTTGGGGCCCGTTTACTAACGTTTTTGTATATAAATAAAACTACAAACAAAACTACTTACTACAAATTTATCACAAATAAATAATATTCGCATAAAACATCCTATTGAACGTAATTGAACATCATCTGTCAAAAGCGTTTGACATTTCACGAAATTGCCACCGTTCATTGTTTTATTCATGGAACGCTTCTACAAAAATTTTCAAATTATAAATGTAAAGTTTCTACGCGGATTTGAAATAATTTCTCACTTTTTGGACATTCTCTGGATTGGCACGAATTTTTCAAGACTAAGGCTGGCCAAATCGATTCAGCCGTTTTCGAGTTTTATTCGGACATTTGAAAGAGAGCTCCATTTTTATATATAAGATAAAAATTTAAGTCCAGTATAATATAAATTTCAATAAATAGAAAAAAAATAAAGTGCCTGAAAAAAAGGATTATTTTGATAGAATAAATTATGTAAAATTTACCTTTATTATATATAATAGATTCAAACTATCCCTAAAAATATCAAAAATTTTTGTGCTTCATACACTTATATATATATATATATATATATATATATATATATATATATATGTATGAAGCAATTTTTGATATTTTTAGGGATAGTTTAAATCTATTATATATATAATAGCTTAGCACTCTTACAGTTTTTTTGCAAATATCTCAAAAGTTTGCAAAAACGTTTATAAAAATTTTATAAACTTCTATCAATATATGATTTGATTTTTAACATTGCGGTCTTGCGCACTTTTACAGTTTTATTTATTTCTAAAAACTAGATAAAATTGTGTATAAAACTGTATCCAACAATATATACATTGTTATGGAGAGATTTTGAATAAACTGTCATTCAATATGTGACTTGATTTTGAACGCGAATGCGTGTTCTGAACGTGAGTGATCTTGGGCATTTCCCAAGTTCTGTAATATAAACTTCTCAAAGAATTATAAAAAATTGTATAAACTATATGTAGAAGTAATAAAAAAATTGCATTGAAATTGCATGATATAATATTTAATATCATAATATATATAAAACACATTAAAGTCATCATTTATCCTTAATCCTTTATATATTATATTAATTATTTTTTCCCAGTTCATCATTCCTCATCTTAGCAGCCTGTACTGCATTCATGAAGGCATTTCTGACTCCTCTTTTTTCCAACTCGTGTACACCTGCAATTGTGGACCCACCTGGTGAACAGACTTCGTCCTTCAGAAGACCAGGATGTTTTCCAGTCTTCAGCACCATTTGTGCAGCCCCAAGGACTGTTTGGGCTGAAAATTGATTGGCCAACTCTCTTGGGATTCCCATTTTTACTCCGCCATCTGCTAGGGCTTCTATCACCTGAATAAAGGATACAAAGGTAAAAATAATATATATATATATATATATATATATATATATAATTATATATATATATATATATATATTGTAGAACTTAATTTCTAAAAAAATATAATAAATTATACAATTTTGAACTATATCAAACAATACAAACATAGTTATGAATTTTTTTTATAAATGAAACTACTGTAAATACTTATGTGATTTGCTTCGAATTTGAATTCGTGTCTGTGCGTGAGCGATCTTGGATGTTTCTACAGTTTTTTGCTAATATCTCAAAACTTTGCTAAAACGTTTATAATAAATTATACATTTTTAAAAAGTAGAGTAATAGAAAATTATTTATGTAACTGTCTGTAACAATATATACATTGTTATGGGAAAATGGTATACAATAATGGTATAAATAAAATTGGCTTCAATATAAGATTTTAGATTTTAGAAACTAGATAAAACTATTTATACAACTGTATACAGTATAAATAGTTTTATCTAGTATAATCTAAAAGCGTATAAAATATATTGATTTTAAATTTATTTAGAAAATCGAGGCAATTCGGGGGTTGATTATAATCAAGTATTTTGAAATTTTCAATTATTTTTAACGTATGTGCAATATTATTATTTAAAAATACTAGCATTTAATTTTCAAACACACTCGTATTTCATGTTGGATTTTTTGAATTTTAATTTAATTTAATTTTTCATCATTTACAATATCCAAAATTGCGTTGTAAACTTCCCTTTATTGATAGCCGTCATATCCAGAGTATCAGCTTGTTGTTTTAAAGTTAAATTTTTAACGTATTTTAGAATTATTGTTAAAAAATCAGTAAAAAATGCAAAGAAATTACACATTTCTTGAATAATATTGAAAAAAAAACTTATTATATTTGAAATGTATTATTTCTATATAGTTAATAATTATTAAATTTAGAGTATTGACACCACTAGATATAAAACAAGCCTTAAGATTTTCGTCCCAAAGTAAATTTTGGTTTCATTTTTCATATTTGTTCCACGCATGTCTTCATCATTCAAAGTTCAACAGATGCGAAACATTATCAACAAAAGCAAAGGTTACAATTCAATTTCTCGGAATAAACAAGTCATTTTCTAAGCACTGACCCTATTTTTTATAACTTGTTTATATTTTTTAACAAGTTCCGATTCAACAAAATCAGCTCGCAATTTTTCGTCAATAATGCCCAACAATTAACTTAATCTTTCGCAGGTTTGCGCTTATGAAATTGAACAATAGATAATTTCTTTTTTGATTCCACGGTAACTTCAAACAAAGAAAAAATTGAATAAGTAGATTAAGCAATAAACAGATCTGTTATTTACTAATTTGCAGAATTATTAATCGGTTAATTGTTTCTACTGATATCACATTGCAAAATAAATATGCATTTTGTATCTCCGTATCCATAGTTAAGTTAAATTATTTATTTTAATTTATTAAGTGTTCTAGATTTTAAATAAATAATTCTAGATTTTATATAAAAAATATAAACATTATATTATAAATTTAATTTTCGAAACTCGTTTTGGCGCCCCCTAAGGCTTGCGCCCGCATTTTTTGCATGCATTGCATGCAAGGCAGGACCGGCCCTGTATATATACTTGACATTTATTTGTTACCTGAAATATGTACGCAGGTCCGCTCCCTGACAAAGCCCCAACAGAATTAATCATACTCTCAGGAACTTCTGCACAAATACTGATGGCCTCCAGCAAAGTCTTTATAATCTGCACCTCGTCCTTGGTGACATTAGGTCCTGGTGCATAGACAACAGCACCACATCCAACATCAACTGGTGTATTCGGCATAGTTCTTATAATCTTGGCACCATCATAAAACCCAAGACGTTCCTTCAAAGTAGCCATCGTCACCCCTGCCATAATCGAAACCCAGATTTTATTCCTCATATCAATCGGATACTCGTTGTAAGCTTCTTTTATACCATTGGCCATGGATTCGAAAATGTGTGGTTTCACGCAGATAAATATCACTTGGCTGTTACAAACTATATCGTAGTTGTTTTCTGATAAATTTGTTACCCCTGCAGCCGTCCAGGGCATGAGGTTGTTTATATGAGGACCAGAAACGGAGACCTTTTGCGGTGTTATCAGGTTCTTTTTCAACATACCGAGGCCTAAGGCTTTGCCCATGTTTCCTCCGCCTATGAAGCCGACGGAAATGTCCATTGTATAAAGGAAAATTGTACATGATAAGGGAAATAGTTGGGTGAAAATCTTTTGTTTTAACGTCAAAAATCTGAACGATTGATAATATATATTTTTCTACTTCATTTTATGAGTACACCGAGTTGCTGTAGGGCATTATAATGTTAAATAGAATCATAGATCATTTAATTTTATACAAATTTCCCGAATACACTATTTATTTTAAACGTATATTTTAAAAGTTATAAATAATTTGCAGTATAAATGCATGTTGAAGAAAGTTCGAACCAAGATCGACCTATCCACATAAAGTTTATCATGTTTCATTGTCAATTATGAGTATACCGAGTTGTACTACAAACTTTTACTGTTAGAAACATGTGTCTAGAATTTAGTTTTCTACAAATTTGCCTAAAAAACTATTTAGTTTACTCAATTACTTTACAAGTTATCTAGAATAAATACACTTTTACACCGAGTTGACTTCAATAAATCGCATCGCATTAAGCAAATTTTACTTAAAATTTTCTCATAACAATGTATATATTGTTTAATACAGATTTATAGATAATTTTATATAATTTTCAAAAATGTGTAACTTATTATAAACGTTTTTGCAAAGTTTTGATATATTTGCAAAAATCTGTAAAAAGGTCCAAGATCGTTCAGGTACAGAACTCAACATGAAATTCGAATCAAATCACATATTGAAAGACAATTTATTCAAAATCTTTTCATTATAATATATGCATTATTTGATACGATTTTATAGATAATTTTATCTAGTTTTCAAGAATGTATATTTTTTTATCAACGTTTTTGCAACTTTTTGAGATAGTTGCAAAAAACTGTAAAAGTGTCCATGATCGCTCACGTACAGAAATGAAATTCAAATCAAATCACATATTGAAAGACAATTTATTCAAAATCTTTCCATAACAATGTATATATTGTTTTATACAGTTACATAAATAATTTTATCAAGTTTTTATGTATGTATAACTTATTATAAACATTTTTGTAAAGTTTTGAGATATTTGCAAAAAACTGTAAAAATGTCCAAAATTTTTAAAAATAATATTAATTCATTGCATGTTTATCTGAATAAACACAGTGGTCTATTTTCAATTGTAATTTTAAACTACACCGAGTTGCTGTAGGGCATTAAAATATTAGACAATGTTGAAGATTATTTAATTTTATACAAATTTCTTGAATATTCTATTAAAATTAAACAAACGGTTTAAAAGTTACAAGAGATATAATAAATAAATGCATATTTGGCTCGATAAACACGGTTGTCTATATTCAATTGTAATTTTTAGGTATACCGAGTTGTTGTAGGGCATTATAATATTAGACAATATTAAAGATTGTTTAATTTTACGCAAATTTTTTGAATATTCCATTAAAATTAGACAACTAGTTCAAAGTTACAACGGATATAATAAGCATATGCAATAACCCAGGTACTGAACAAGAGACTTCTTATTTAAATTTTTATAATAAAAATTAAATTAAATTTAAATTATACCCAGTTGCTGTAGGACGTTATAATATTAAACAATTTTATAAACTATTTAATTTTGTACACATTTACTGAATATTTCATTAAACTTAGACAAACTATTTAAAAGTTACAAAATAATTGTTAAATAAATACATACAAACACCAGTCCTGTTTGTTTCCTAATAGATTTTAAATTATGTACACAATAATATCTAATATTAGTATATAAGTACATACAATATAATTCACCAGTACACTTAAACTTCGCTTTACCCATTTTTTTTTTAATTACAATATTTTTTACACCTGTTAAATAATATAACATCTAGTAACAATAATGAACAATAACATAAATTTAAATATAAAAGTACAAAATATAGGGTAGTATTATCATTAAAATGAAAATGCAATTAACGAATTAACTTTACCCAAATTAACAATTCAAATTTTAAATTTCAAATAAACCGCGCAAACTTCAGACTACAAGTGTCATCTGATCAACCAATAAGAAAGTTACACCAAAAGCACGTGTTACATTTCTTGTCAAAAATTTTGACAGTCGGCTGTAAGAAGAGTTGAAATTAGCTCCTAAAAATTTAAATAAAAGGATAATTAAATAGATTGACAAAATAAATGCCGGAAATTAAGGATGTACGAGCAAATATTGATTGTAAAATATGTCTCTGCAAAAAATTGCTTCTTGCATTTGCCTTCCAGGATACATAGACAATATTTTGTCAAAGTAATAAAATATACATTATTATAATCTTAAATATATATATATATATATATATATATATATTGTAATTTATATTTGCTTTCTTTACAAGTACATATATCTGCATATTTATTGCAAATTATTGTTCTATATGAAAATTTTGCACATAACCTCAAAATTTTGCACAATATTAAGAATAATTAAAAATAGTTTATATATATATATATATATATATATATATATATATACATGCATATACACGAACACATATATATATATATGTGTATATGCATATAATAATTTTTGCTATATTTTATATGTCCATATATTTATATACATATTAAAGATTAAAGTGCAATTTCTAAACTTTACACTTAACCTATAGAAATTTACACAATGATTGAAAACTCAAGTTATATATATATACATATACATATATATATATATATATGTATATATAAATAACTATATATATATATATATATATATATATATATATATATATATATATATATTATTTCTTTTCTTTTTCTTCAGGGGAGTTGCATATGTGTAAAACAAAATGGCAAAACCTTCTACCTCACCTGTGACCCCAAACCTCTCCAACAATCTTTCTACGATACCTTCGATGACAATGTGTGTGGCCTAAATTCAATGTTTGCAAAATCCATGGACCTAAAAGAAGGTGATGCAATAGTTTGTTCCTTAATTTCACACTCGGGCAGTTTGAAATCTATTCACATTGTTCCATCGAGTGATGAAGATTGGATCTTGTTGGTAATAATTATATATATATATATATATATATATATATATATATATATTATAATTCTAAATTTTTTAAGTTTATATGAGTTGTTTTATAGTTGTTTATTGTAGGAATCTAATGCTAATAAAGTGCAGAATGTTTTTATGGATCAAATACGTGTCGTTTGTGATAAGCAGATATTGACTTTGTGGTGCTCGAAGACGTTGTGTATTAAATTTGAAGTCGGTAAGTCACTTATCAATACAGCATTTTAAACTATTTAAAAAGTTTCTCAACTATATATTTATTTTTATTTGTGTTCAATAAATTTTTTAACATTTTTCTAGAAAACTAAAAAGATGTCCATGTTAGTTCTGTTCAACAAAAGCACTTGTATATTTTAATTAAATTTATAAATACATTCATAATTCCAAATAATATTCATAAGTACACCAAAATTTTATGAAATTTTATCTAATTTTATGTTCTGTTAGCGAAATTAGATACTTTCTAACAAAATTTTTCAAAATTGTTAACAAAATTTGATACTTTCTAAGAAAATTTTTCAAAATCGTCGAAAGTTTAAAAATTTGTACCGAACGCTGCGGTTAGTTTAAGTACGGTTAAAATCTGAAATTTTTATAAAACTTTGTACGAACAAAAATATTTCTAAGTACAACAAAACATAGATAGTTTTATCTAATTTCAAATTATGCAAACAAAATTTAATACTTTTTAAGAAAATTTTCCAAAATCGTCTCAAATTCGAAAATTTCTACCACCCTTATGTCGAGATTTCCGTTAGATACATCAATTTTAAATTAAAAATTTCATAAAATTTTGTACGAACAAAAACATTTATAGGTATAATAAAATTTAAAGAATCTTATCTAATTTCATGACGTTTTAGCAAAATTTGATACTTTCTCAGAAGATTTTTCACAATCGACAAAAATTTAAAAGAATTTTTTTTATGATTAAATATATATTTCGTCATAGAAATATTTTGCATATTTATTTACATTTTTGTTGTAGTAAATCTAGAACCAAATTTACCAATGGGCTATTTAGAAAACGACACCCAAGTCATAGTTTTACATCCCGAAGACAAAATAAATTTCCAAAAACCCTCCGACGCCTCTTGGACATTAACAGACTTTTTAAAAAACCAATTCAGCAAAAAAACTGACAATTTGGAGCCCAAAAACGACGAAAACATATTACAAGAATTAGAAATCTTATTCAAAAAATTTAATATACGCAAATACGATGTATACAGAACTATACCGATGAAATTTTTGCAAAATGAGATTTTAGAAAATGATTATTTTGTTGGTGTTGATAAAAATTATTTGCCCCAAAATCATAAACCAAGTTGTGTTTATGAAATGCAAAAAGTTTCTGCGTGTCAGAAGTATTTAAAAAAAGATGAAGGGGGTAATAGTTATAAATTGTATGTAAAGTTATGTACATATAATTTTGATAATTTGCAAAACCACAAACAAACTTTGGTTTGTTCCAAAGCTTTATGCAAAACTTTGAATCTAAATTTGGGCGATCACGTAATTCTGCAACCTGTAAAAGAATTACAAGAATTAGAAGCCATTGAGTTGAATTTTGGTGTAAAATACCAAAATTACAACACCTTTGATTTGATAGATTTATTTAAAAATTATGTCGTGCAGAAAAGTACTGATTTCAAAATATTGATCCCCAATAAAATTAAATTAACATTATCTGAAGATTATTTTGTTGAAGTACGTTTAAAACCTGAAGAACTTATGTATGCTGAATTGAATGCTGATTGCTTTAGCAAAACCAGTATAAATGCTGTTTTTGAAAATTTTGAAACTTCAAATGATGACTATAAGTTTAATGAATACAATTTTGGCGTTGACAAACACTGTCAAAGCATCCAAGGCTTTACACAAATTGTTGACGAATGTGTAGAAAGCATTAGTAAAGACTTTCAACACCAGGCTGTTGCACACAATATAATAATCGAAGGTAACAAAATTAATAGAATTTAAAAAAAATATGCAGTTGCTATAGTTCAATTATCTTTTCCCAGGTTCTGAAGGAACAGGCAAGTCATCGATTACCAAATCCATTTGCCAACGTTTGTCCCAAAGTCCATTTTTCTATCATGTGAAAACTCTCCAATGCAAAAATTTAAAAGGAAGAAGATGCGAAACTGTTCTGAATGAAATAGGAAGTGTTTTATATGAAACTTTGCAGAGAAGTCCTTCTGTGCTTGTTTTTGATGATTTGGAACAACTTTTGAAAGTCGTGGAACCCGAAAGAGATGCTCCTGATGCTATTTTGATGCACAACAGGTAAGTAATTAAAATTATTATTTATTATTAAAGTATTTTATATGTTATTAAAAGGGTTTGTTGGGACAAAATTTCATAAAAATTTCAAGAATGTAATTGTACTTAAACTAACCTAACCTAACATGACGTGTTTGCATAGGCTTGGTAGAAATTTTTAAACTTTAGACGATTTTGAAAAATTTCCTTAGAACGTATCAAATTTTGTTGAAGCAACATGAAATTAGATAAAATTACCTAAATTTTTTTATACTTAAAAATATTTTTGTTCATACAAAGTTTTATAAGATTTAAGTTTTTAATTGTACTTTGTTTAATTGTAGTGGTACAAATTTTCAAACTTTAGACGATTTTAAAAAATTTTCTTAGAAAGTACCAAATTTTGTTTGCACAACATAATTAGATCAAATTATCTGAATTTTGTTGTACTTAGAAATATTTTTGTCCTTACAAAATTTTACAGAAATTTAAGTTTTTTTTATTGTGCTTAACCCAACAGAAGTGCTTGGTACAATTTTTTTAGTTTTACATTTTGTGTTTAAAATAATTGATCACAAAATTAGAATGATGAATAAATATATATATATATATATATATATATATATAAATTAAAGAAGTAAATTAATAAATAAACAAATGAATGAAAAAATAATTCTAAATATTTATCCATAATAAATAATAATTTCAGAACACCAAGTTCAAACTAGATCACATTAAAGGTAATTTTATTTAAATTTTTTCCATAACATGGTATATTTTATTTGATACAGTTTTATAGCTTATTATCTACTTCTGCAGATATATAATTTTTGATAAACGTTTTTGCAAACTTTTGAGATCTTTGCGAAAAACTTGCGAAACGTCCTAGATCGTCACGTCCAGAACACGAATTCAAAGTTGTATAATTTAACGCCACTTACACCTAGTAATTTTTCCAGAATATCAGACATGTTCTACAACCTAATATCATTATGCCAAAAACATCACCAGATTTGCATAATAGCAACTTGCCAATCGACAAGACTTTTAAATTCCCGAATTTATGCAGCGAGAGGAATGCATTTATTTTCGGAAATATATAAAATTCCAGACCTGGATAAAGTATGATGATTATAAATATTCATATCCATTTTATATATATACATATATATACCTATGTCTGTTTTTAACGGTAGATTGGTTCCAGAAGAAGCCGTGTAAAAAAAAAACGTGTAAAAAAAGACATTGATCTTGTACAAAAATGGGTGATTTTGTATGCACATAAAGGGAATTTCCCTAAATTAGTGCTATTCACATTTGCTTTGACCAGTAAAAATTGTTTGTACGCGCTAAAGGGGAATTCACTTAAATCTTTAAGCTAGTGTTCGCAAACTATCGATACTATCGATGGTTTCAGACTTTTTTCTTTCATAAATACTTTTTTGTGATATCAACATACTTCGCAAAAATTTAATTTGACAAAAAAAATGTAAGTACATAAAATTTCAAATCGTGCTAAATGGAATAAAATCGTGTAAAAAAATTAAAAATACTCAATTTTCAAACCGTGTTATATCGAAACCGTGCACAAAAAAACCGTGTAAAAACAGACTTAGGTGTATATATATATATATATTATATTATATATTAATCGAATTAATATTTTAAGGAAAACAGGATCAAACTTATGCAACATTTGTTGAAACAAGAAGCATATTTAGAACCAAATTTAAATTGGCCTTTGTACAGTGAAATTTCTGAAGGCTATGTTATGCAAGATTTTGTTGATTTTGCACAACGAGCAAGTTTCCATGCTTGGAAAAATAAATGTATGGGATAAAAAATAAATTACCATATAATTACATATAAATGATAATTTCATTTATTATATTTTTAGCTAAATCGAATAATTCTGCCGTGGCTCATTTATTGACAATAAGTGATGAAATGGTTCTAAAAGCTTTGTCTGATACTCGTCCAATTGGTATAATGACATCAGATACTGAGACAAATCAGCAGAAGTCTTTGGAGGATTTAAGTGATACTTGGAATTCTGTTGGAGGCTTGTCGGAGGTCAAGGAACAACTTTTGGAGCTTGTTAAGTGGCCTAGCTTGGTAAGTAGAATGTAAATATATATACAGTAGTACACCGAATTACGAATGTTTCGACATACGAGCTCACGAAGGAGCAATTTTCTACCTCGACATACGAGTAAAATTTAAGTTACGAGCTCATCATGAATTATCATTAATACAAGAGTATTGCCTGAAATCCAATAAAATTTCTACTTCTATATTTTTATGCTAAAATTTCGTAAATTTTGTTAAAGTATGTATATATTATTATATATAGGCTTACAATAAATTTCATTGTCTATTTAACTATATAAATTACTTTTCGCACTTTCATACAATTTTTGTTGCAAAATGCATTTTTGTCAAAAAAGTGCACCCGCTAAACACATTCATATTCACATTCGTGCCTGAAATCGAATTAAATGCAAATCTGCCTTTTGCAAGCTAAAATTATCGTAAATTTTGTTAAAGAATGTATATATTATTATATATCAGCTAATTGAAAATTTTATTGTTTATTTAATGTCATTAATTGTTTTTTATATTTTTATACAAATTTTGTTAGCAAAATGTAGTTTTGTCAAAAAAGTGCTGCACGCGCTGGATTCATTAATACATAGAACCGTGCCTGAAATCGCATTAAATGCAAATCTGCATTTTGCAAGCTGAATTTAGCGTAAATTTTGTTAAAGAATGCATATATTATTATATATCAATTTATTCGGAATTTTATTGTCTATTCGACGTCATTAATTGTTTTTTATACTTTCCTATAAACTTTCTGTGCAAAATCTAAGTTTGTCAAAAAAGTGTACTCGCTGAACTCATTCATAGACAAAATCGCACCTGAAATATAGTCTTCATTTTGCAAGCTAAATTTAGCGTAAATTTTGTTAAAGAACGTCTATATTATTATATATCAGTTTTTTGAGAATTTTACTGATCTAAAGTTATTAATTGTTTTTTATACTTTCATACAATTTTTTTGTCAAAATTCAATTTTGTCACAAAAGTGCACTCGCTGAACACAGAATCGCGCCTGAAATCGAATAAGATGTACATCTGCCTCTTGCAAGCGAAATTTTCATAAATTTTGTTTAAGAATGTATATATCATTATATATCAGTTCATTGAAAATATTATTGTCTATTCAACGTCATTGTTTTTCATACTTTTATATAAATTTTCTTTGCAAAATGCAATTTTGTAAATGCAATTAGAAATCGCATTAAATGTAAATCTGCATCTTGCAACCTAAAATTGTCGTAACTTTTGTTAAAGAATGTATATTTTATTATACATCAGTTTATTGAGAATTTAATTGGCTATTTAATTTCGTTACTGGTTTACTAAGTTTTCATGTAAATTTTCTTAGCAAAATGCAGTTTGTTACAAAAGTGCACTCGCTGAACTCATTCATAGATACAATCGTGCATGAAATCGAAGAAAATGCACATTTGCATTTTGCAAGCTAAAATTCTCGTAAATTTTGTTAAAGAATGTTTATATTATTATATATCAATTTATTGAGAATTGTATCGACTATTTAATTTCATTATTGGTTTATTAAGTTTTCATGTAATTTTTTTTGCAAAATCTAATTTTGCGAAAAAAGAGCACGCGCGAACTTAATAATAATTACTATCGCACGAGAAACCCTTAACCATATTTTTTATGCAATTATCTCGGAAATTTTGTTAAAAAATGTATATGTTACTCAGTTTACAGTAAATTCTATTTGTTATTTAACTATATTAAATAATTAAGCTTTGCACTTTAATATAACATTTTGTGCAAAATGCAATTTAGTCAAAAAAGTGCACTCGGTGAACACAAAATCGTGCACTCGCTGAACACAAAATCCTGCCCTGATATCGAATAAAATGCACATCTGCATTTTGCAAGCTAAAATTATGATAAATTTTATATGCTATATATCAATTCATTGGAAATTTTATTTTCTATTCAACGTCATTAATTGTTTTTTATACTTTCATAAAATTTTTTTTGCAAAATGAAATTTTGTCAAGAAAATGCACGCGCGACCAAACCACTGTGCTAGTACGAATCAATGGCGATATATTGGAAAAAATGCTTTGAGATATGAGCGTTGTTACGTAACGAGTTTTAAACTCGTATATCGGGCTATATAATACTATTTTTTATACCTATGAATTTTTTTTCAGTATCCAAAAATATTCGTAAATGCCCCGATTACTTTGTCCAGAGGAGTACTTTTGTATGGACCTCCTGGTTGTGGAAAAACTTTATTAGGAACAATTATAGCAAAGTATTACTAATAATATTATATTTAATTTTCAAAATTGCGTAATAATACATATAATTTTATTATTTTTGCAGGTATTGTAAATTAAGGTTGATTCGTGTTCGTGGTCCTGAACTTTTAGGAAAATATGCTGGTGAAAGCGAAAGACAAGTCAGAGAAGTATTTAAAAGGTAAATTATATTTTGAAAATAAAATCTAAAACACTGATAAATGTTCTCACCGAACATGCAAGATTTTAAATATAAATAATTAGTATTTTATTTATTATACTTTTTTTTCTCAGAGCCCAAAGTGCAAGGCCGTGTATTCTCTTCTTCGATGAGTTCGACAGTCTTGCACCAAGGTAACTTAACTTTAACTCAATTATTATTGAAAAATATATTATTGTTATTAAATTAGTTATTATATAATTTTTCAGACGTGGTCATGACACTTCTGGTGTCTCTGATAGAGTTGTAAATCAATTATTGACCGAATTAGACGGTTGTGAAGCCCGAGATGTAACTGGTGGTGTTTTTATATTAGCTGCTACGAGTCGACCTGATCTTATAGGTAAATACAATAAAAAAAATATTATATTAATTCATAAAATTATAAAATAAATTATCATGTATAAATAAATTGGTATGTTTTCATAAAAATATGTACAGACATTTTTGATCTTTTTAAAGAAATTACTTTGAAATATGACAATTTTTTTGTAATTTGTTTATATTAATTAGTGTATTTTAATTTAGTATTTTTTATATTGTAGATCCGGCTTTATTAAGACCAGGACGATTAGATCCACAATTTTTATGTCCAATTCCGGACACTGATGGAAGATTTGATATTTTGAAATCGTTGACTACATTCAATAAAAAGTAATATTATATTGATATATACATACATATTATATATATATATATATATATATATATATATACAAATATATATGTATATATGTGTATTCTTTTCAGATTACAATTAAAAAGTGATGAAAATTCAGCAGAAAATATTCTACAAGACGTTGCAAAACATTCCGATGGTTTTACAGGAGCAGATTTAAGTGCTCTTTTGTGCAAAGCTAAAGAATTTGCAATGGAAAATAATGTAAGTAATTTTAATAAATACTGAATAAAACTAGCTGTAAGTGGAATTCTGTCTTGAGGCAATTATGGCATCGTGCCTTAAGGCAAATTGCTGGAACTTCCCGTACCGTAACGAAATGTTCGAGGAATACTTAATGTTTTCAAATAGATTATTATAAATAGAATTATATAAACTGAATTGCTGAGTTGAAATTATTTGTAAAGTATATTAGAACTGAATTATAGTCAGAATTAAAAATAAAATTTGAAATATTTTCGATATACAAAAAACTAAAAAAAAAAAAAACGAACAATTTTTTTTTTCCAAATACAATTATTTTGTTAAGACAAGCAGAAAGTTCTTTGAATTATTTAAATCGGACGGTTAGTTCTCTCAAAAACTGCTATTTTTTACATATTTAGCTCCGTATCTTCAAAATGGCTGGGCCTGCCTTTGCCAAAAACTAATAAACACTTCTCCCAATCATTTCTAATTGAATGTTTTTTAGATCATTCAAATCGGATACTCCGTTCTCTCAATAATTCGATTTCTATTTTCTGCACTCTTTGCTCCGTATCTCCGAAACGGCTGGACCTGCATTTGACAAAAACTTATCAGCTCTTTTCCCTATCAATGGGAATCGAATGTTTTTTGAACCATTCAAATCGGTTGATCAGTGCGCCCTAAAACGTGACTGGAAATTTGTATCCATACATACATACACACACACACACACACACATCCATTTTTTCTGAGGTATGCCAAAACGTTCAGAAACGTTCAAAACGTCGAGAAATGTAAAAATTTTCAATTCCGATTTTTGGCCCATTACAATAACTTACCCTACGGGAAGTTAATAATTATAATAAATACATCTTTTAAAACCTCACAGTAAATAATTTTGAAAATGGTTTATTACAGATGGTTGTCTAATAATTTTAACATTTTTTTATATAAACTTATTTTTTAAACAAATGTACATATATAAATATATATAGATGCAAAAACAATAATAGCAATATTTTCCTGCCTAAAATAAAATTAATTTAGTTTACCTTTAATAATTGTTTTCAAATAATTTGCTTTAGTGTTTGTGTTTCTATTTTGAATATTTTAAATTCGTTTTAAAGTGTCTTTGTTTTCATTTTGTAAATAATTGTAAAGCAATGTAGTATTATTGTGTTATTATAGAAAATGTAATAATCGTTTCAGATTTTGTGTGACTGATTTGTATTATAATAAATCAGATAACGACTTCATTTAAAGTTTTATGATCCGAGTCGTAAATGAATTTCAATTAACAGTAACTTCTTATATTATATATATATATATATATATATATATATATATATATGTCGATTTTTTATTTTTTACAGGATGATAAGATTTCTAAAGATAATCTTGTAGAAGCTTTGAAAAATTCAAGACCATCTTTATCTTTACAAGAGCGACAGAAGTATGATGCAATGTGAGTACATTTTTATATGATTTTATTCAATTCGAATTTATTTATTAAATAATAAATGACAACTTTCTAAAATATATTAATTCGACTACAAATTTAGATATCTTAGAAATCTTTCGGATCCAGTTTGCTGTCAATATTTTATTTAAATTATTTAAATCTGAGTAATTCAGAGTTCTTCTTTTATTATTACATCTTCAAAGCATAAGAATTTACTTTGAAATTTTCGAATAATTAAAGACCTAAGTATTAAAAATCAATATTTTATAACAGATTTAAAGTAATAATAAAAAAAAAATCGGTTATGAAGACTAAAAATAATTTTCCCGAAGACTGACTAAAAATAACTCTATGACAATTACTCGTAATATTTATTTCATTCTTTTAAATTAATTTATTTATTTATTTACATTTTTTTCTATTTACGTAAATTTATTATTCCGTTGTTTTTTGATGCTTCTTAATTGTGCAGTTTATTTATTATTATTTAATATTTCGTAAGAACGTTTTTAGAAAGTATATATCTATAAAAACTAGATAAAAATATCTATGAAAATGCAACAAACAATATATATATATATATATATATATATATATATATATATATATATAGTTGCATAACAAAATTTTGAATAAAAGCAAATGGCAATTTGTAAAATGTCAATTTATTTAATATATTATATTGTCCTTACTATTTTGTTCTATATTATTGTAATTTTCTTTTCTCATTTTCAACTTTGTTAAATTTTGTTTATGCATATACTTTATTTTTGTTATATTATCTATTTATTTAGATTTAAATATAAATTCTTACTCTATTTATACTATTTCTACTCTATTAATCTATTTTATTTCAGCCACAATCGCTTCTCCAATACTTCACTACCTGAAACCGGTACTGTAGTTTTAACGAAACGTGCTACTATGGCCTAAAATAATAATATAAATATAATATCATATTGTATAAAATATAATATTATATTGTTTAAAATATAATTTTATATTTTTTGTACAACTTTGTTTCCGCCGTTTTTACTTTAGGATTTCTATACAAAAAAGCCTCCGTTTGAAATAAAAGCGGCGGAAGCAAAGTTGTACATCTAATGAATAAATAATATATATAATATAAATTTTTAAATTTTAAAAGAATTTCTGATAATGAGGTGGTCGACTGGATATTTTTTTAGGGGTAACGTTTTGTTGTGAGTGACATTAGGTTTTAAAAAATATATTTTTACATATGGTGTTAGAGTTATTAAACATTTTATTTCTACTTCATAAACGTATCGTTGATTCAATGATAAAGTAAGAATAAGATTTATAATATATTTTTAAAATGTATAAAGGCTGTGGTATAGTATATGTATAAAAATATTTTGATGAATTGTTTAGAATCGGGCAGTAACACCAAGTAAAAAAAACTAAAGTTGGATAAATAAAGTATTTAAAAACTACTTTAGTTTTTTTTACTTGGTGTTACTGCCCGATTCTAAACAATTCATCAAAATATATATCAACACCAAACTCACATATTTCAAAATATAAAAATATATATAATATGTAATTTGGTTTAGGTTTAAGGTTTTATTGTTAATTTTTTATTATAATTTTTTTTTTGTTAGTTGATTGCTATTAGTTAAAAGAGCTGTGTACTTTTTTACTTTTCTTGCTATATTCTTGTTTTTTATTTTTAAATTTTTTAGTTCTATACTTTTTCTACATTTACACTATTTTTATAATTTTATCAATATATATATATATATATATATATATATATATATATAAATCAACAAATGTATATGTGAAGATATAACAATATTAATAAATTGACAATTTACGAATTACGTTTGCTTTTATTCAAAATTTTATGTAACTACATATATTGTTTGATACAGTTTTATAGAGAATTTTATCTAGTTTTTATAGATATATAATTATCTATATACGTTTTTGCAAAGTTTTGAGATATTTGCAAAAAACTGCGTAAGGGTCCAAGATAGGTCAAATTCAGTCCTCGAATTTTATTACAATTCAATTCACATATTAGAGAATGTTTTCTTTTAAAATTTTCCATAACGTTGTATATGTTGTTTGATATAGTTTTATAGAGATTTTAATCTAGTTTTCATAAATGTATGATTTATTATAAACGCATTTTGCAAATTTTTAAGATATTTGCTGCTGTAAATGTCTAAGATCGTCCGGGAATTTACGTTAAAAATCAAATTACATGTTAAATGAGGTTTTATTTAAAAACGTTCTTGCAAAATTTTGAGATATTAAAAATGTCCAAGATCGTTCGAAAATTTGAGTTAGAGAAGTCTAGAAGAACTACATATTCAAGGCTGTTTTATTTAAAAATTTCTCATGGCATTGTCCATATTGTTTGATCTCAAAAAATTTGAACATTTATATAAAATTATATAATTATAAAAACTAGATAAAATTCCCTATAAAACTGTATATAACAATATACAGAATGTATTCTAACATTTTGTTAAAAAAATCTGTAAAAGGTTTGTTTCACACTACAACTGATAATGAGTCGTTTGGGACATTTCCGAGGTTTTTTGCAAATATTTCGAAAATTTATAAGAACAATGATATAAAATTATATATCTATAAAAACTAGATAAAATTCTCTACAAAACTGCATCAAACAATATATATGCCATGGTATTAGAAATTTCTAATTTTCCCGATTCCAACCCTGTTTTTGCTTTTCGAAGCTAAAACTTCTTGTACCATCTTGAAACATTAAACATCTCTCGCCGTTGTAATCTTAATTATAAATCTTGTAGCAAAAGATAATTAAACTATGTATCTATCTCAGATCTTTTCATATATATGTATATAATGTATGTATATATATTACACTTTAACTTAACAGATTAATATTACAAAGTTATTAAAGGCGGAATTCGCTATCGTTATATTCGCGAATTCGCCCGACATTAAGAGAAATCTACAGATTCAAATTGAAAGATATAAATAGATGGATTCCAGTTGGTTTTATTCAAAATTTTGTTATGTAATTGTATGTATTGTTTGATACTGTTTTATTGAGAATTTTATCTAGTTTTTATGGATATATAATTTTTTATAAACTCTTTTGCAAATTTTTGAGATATTAAACTGTTGCCACTTGGCCGTTCCAAGTTACCCCTTCTATAGGGTAAAAAGGTTTAGATAAATTTTTGAAAGACATCAAAAAAGCACATTTCTACAATGATAAAGTAGCTAGCAGTTTTACTGAACGTAGTCAGATAATTGTTCGTTTGAAATGTGTTATTTGTTGTGATATAATTAGTTTGATTTTCATAATATTATTAATATTTGCTCAAATTTAAATTGGACCTTTATATATTCATCGAATGTTACTTGAAACTTTTCAAAAAGCAGGTTAAAAAAGAAATACTTAATTCATTTTCTATCTCTCTCTCTCGCTGAAATTTGAAAATTTTGTATAAGCTCAGTAGTATTATTTACAATTAAACACAAAATCGAGAATCCAAAAAGAATCTGAACAACTTGGAACACAATGAATAAGTCGAAAGACCAAAAATGACTTGGATTGGATCATATCATGTTTTCTATTGAAAATGTATAAAACTTTCAGTTTGATTGTATTGACAAAATATAGATAAACTAATGGGATGTGTTTTTATTGTACATAGCATTCAAACAACACATTCTTATACACTTAAAGTATTAATATTTTTGATTCTCTATAAATTGTTTAGAATATACCTTATTTAGCAAAACAACGTTTGCCGGGTCAGCTAGTATATATACACACACACACATATATATAAGTGCAAAATTAAGTTTATTCATAAAAACGTGTAAGATAGTTATCAACATTTTTTCTTAAAATAATTATGCAAGCTATTATGTATTTAACTAGGTGGGAATGGCATATTGCCTTAGTGCAAATTGCAATAACTTCCTGATATAGATATACATATATATATATAAGTATATATCATGTATATATGTATATATCATGTACTTATATATAAGTAATGGACTAGGCGTTAAATTGTTGAGTCATTAAGATTTGTTTCTGTAAATAATTTTTAGAAAAACGTCACTCAACGATACTTAAAAACATAAATAGTTTTGAATTAACTAACAATTAACATCTTACCTCGTATCAAATATTTGACCTTTACAATTACTCTGAACGTTTACTTTTTGATAACACATAAAACTAAATATTATAAACATATTGTTACGGTTTATTTATTAATTAAACGTAAATTAACATATCCACACAATCATCACATTTAAAATTATTGTAAACGAAACGTCAAATCGAATAAAAAATGGCGGACATTAACACCAACTTCACAAATATAAGTTTTAAATATTACCGATCACTTTAAAAATATTAATATTTTTAATTAGTTATATTTAGATTGTTTACACATATGTTCTTATATTAATTATTTATATTATATTAATATAATATGAATATATAAAAAAAATGATTAACGTTTGCTTGCAAAAATATGCAGAATGTTGGTACCCCTGCAAACACAACTGTGAAGAATGCGTTAAACCGAATTGACATTAGAATCAAAATGTCGCAGTCAAATTTAATATTTAATAATAATGATATGTTTGTGGACCTATATATTTTTGTCTTATTGTTATAATTATTAATTCATAGTATTGTATTTAATATTTTTGCTTTTGTTGTGAATATAAACACAAATGCGGCTTATTGCAAAGTGAGTGTAGTTTTGAAGAATTGTTTCGATGCCTAAGCTAAAGGTAGGAATTTTATAAAATTTACTTTAAATTCATTTATTTAATAGCTTTATTGACTTTAATCTTAAAACATTGTGCCAGTTAGAAATTAAGTATAAGAATTATGTTGTAAAAGCTGTCTGATTGGTATATATATGTATTCGACTTAATTGCTAATAATTGATATTTAGTAACACCTGAATTTGAGAATAATTTTAAAATTTTCTATTAAATTAAACTTCTTTTTGTTGGCCTATAAGATTTCAGTTAGTATCAACCATGAAATATATCGTTCAACAAAGTTTCATCTTTTTTTTTTCTTTCAACACTTTCAACAATTAATTACAAAAAAATGGCGCTACCAATCTTGAGCAAAAACTAGCTAGAGCGATTCCCAACCGATATCTTTCAAAGAATTTTTTGAATCTACTTAAGTTTTGGCTAAAACTAAATAAATCTAATCATCAAGGTCTATAACCTTTGTGTTTATCTATATAGAACTCAATGTAATAAGAAGTTTAAAGTAGAGGGAAAAAGATGTATAACCAGCTATAACCTTGATTCTCATGACTTTGCTATCTGGAGATAAACTGTAATCTTTGAAAATCTATAATAAAAATATTTTCTTCTGTTGGTAGATTTTTAGCATTAGTTAAAATTGTAATTGTTCTATAAAATACATTTAAAATTGAAATAAGACATTAAACCTGTTCCAAGTTACCCCGCCAGCATTCAAACAACACATCCTTATGCACTTAAAGTATTATTATTATTGATTCTCTAGAAATTGATTAGCATATACCCTACTTAGCAAAATAACGTTTGCCGGGTCAGCTAGTATATACATATATATGTATATATAATAATAGGTTCGTTAGAGCCAACTTGATTCTGTCTTAAAAGGAAAACACTTTATAAAATGTGAAAAATTGAAGATGGTAATTCGTTTTTGATTTTCTTTGAATACAGTTCTAATTTGCTTCCAATATATACATCGAATATATTATATACATATATATATACATATATAAATATATATATATATATATATATACATATATATATACCATAAAATCTCAACAATAAGTGATTGTTATCATTATAAAGTTTTGTAAGAATTCAGAAACTTTTGTTGAAGAAAACTCGCGTTTTATATATTAAGAATGATAATTCAAACA